GAATGACTATTTCCTATAAAAGTTTGACGTTTGAATTTGAGAGTCATTGTTACCAAACTAAGGTGTTAAAAACGGCAATATGAGAATAAGTCACAATCATTTAGAGTCACCCAGTATTTTAGGCTATAATAGTATAACCAACTGTTCTGATTTAGCCAGGACATGTTTAGTTTTTTATTGTCAGCAAATTTTTATATGGAGTGATAAGTTGAAATGAGGGCCCAATATACAATACAATAAAAATATGTATAAAAACTACTTGTCACTTAATGTAGTAATTTTTTTTTGAATGACATTGTTTCCTCTATTGAGATTGTGACGTCAGTTGAAATCATGATGGTTTAATTAACGAAAATAAAGTTTTTAGATGAACGTCTTCAGAGGCTGCTTGTAATTTTAATTTTTGTTTTTCTTTTCGTTTCTGTGCACCAAATTTATACTTATATCTAGATTTTTCCATTATTTATGCCCACTAATAATTAAAATTAAATTAAATAAAAACGATATTTTTTATCGGTTGATTAAAAAATGTGTAGCATAATTTTAATTACGAATACCCCTCTACAATTGAGAATAGATAATACAGTATTTATTGACCCACCTCAAAAAATAGAAAAATTACAACTTTCCAAAAATCGGTATGAAAAAATGATTTTCTGGAAATATTTTTGTTACCGTTTATCCGATTATTATTAAATTTTGCATGTTAAAGGACAAAAAGACACTCTTTGATTTGGTGTAAACGGAAGTCTTGTAGAAGCAGTAGCAGTTTTGGGATCATAACTTTTTTTCGGCTTATTAATTTCTATTTTTGATACAGCCCAATCATTTTTTTTTATAAAAAAGGTAGTTTCATATCGCCAAAATGTACCGTTCTCAGTTATTTGAGTTTAAACTAAATTCTACACCGCGCTGCAAAATCAGTATTTATAAATTTTGAACGTACCTTGGAAACCATCCACTAGGAATATCATCGTGTCATATTTAATGTTAATTTCAATAAATCCAAATGAACATTTATTTATTTCTTGATAATTATAAAAGCTGTATTTTTTCTATTGCTTGACGAGTTGGATTAATAAATACTGTGCTATCTATTCTCATTTGTAGAGGAGTATTCGTGATTAAAATTATGACACAAATTTTTGAATCAGTTGTATAAATCCACGCGGAATTTTTCTTACATGCGTGTAAGACCTTATAAACAAAATTGAGCTAAAATCATTGAAATTATAGAAAATATTGTTTTATTTGTTATGATGGCAATTTTTTAATTCCTTCAAACTAAACACACTTAGTTTCTGCGAAAAACGCGTTTCAGCACTTCATGAATTAGTTCTATGCAATATCAAATTTTAATGCATTGTGGAAAGTTTAATTACAAATTTAAAATTATTGATATTATTTCAATGAGCTCTTGACATAATAAGTCTACCATAATTGGAGGCCCGTAAGACTCGAGGGCCCGAGGTCCTGTGGCACCCCGGCACCCCTGGCCAGTCCGCCCCTGAAGTGATCTAGTTTCAGATAGGATTAGCAACATTTAAACTCACAAATGAAGTACTTATTTGATTAATTTTAGAGAAAAAAATAAGTAGTTGTGAAACTACAGTTTGCCAATTGGTTTTCAATTTGTACAAAACATAAAATATTTATTTGGGTAAACTTTTGTAGTTCCATAACAATTATTGCAAATTTATTAATAAAAAAATTATACTATACGTATTATGTATAATTTTCAAAGAGTCGAACATTTTTTTACCAGAAAGCTGTAGGAAAAGAATTGCGAATGTACTGAGATGTTGTAAACAAAATATGAAATGTCTGGTGACTATAATACAAGTGATACGAAAATCTATTAGCAACAGTGAATTAATTTATGACAGGTGACGGCTAAGACGGTGGATGACTGACTATTTCCTATAAAAGTTTGACGTTTGAATTTGAGAGTCAATGTTGCAAACTAAGGTGTTAAAAAGTGCAATATTAGAATAAGTCACAATCATTTATAGTCACCCGGTATTTTAGACTATAATAGTATAACTAACTAACTAACTGTCCTGATTTAGCCAGGACATGTTTAGGTTTTTATTGTGTTGTCCTGTTTTACGTTTATGTCCTGATTTGTCCCGATTTAAGGATAAATAAACCTATGAGATTTGTATTTGCAACAGAAAAAAGTGTCTTTCAAGTAAAAAAGTTTTCTTTTTGACGTCATTTCAAATGTGGTTATCGCAAAAAAACTCAACTTACTGAAAGTAGAAACACTTAAAAATCGCTTATAATGACCAAATGAAATATTAATTTGGCTTGTATAGATTTTAAAAATGTTTGCAGAAAATGAAGGGACTTTTAAAGCAATTCATACAGAAAAAAGATTTAACACAAAACAATAAATTAATAATATGTTAATTATTAGATTAAGCTCCAAATTTTTTGTTTGTTTTGTATGTCGATATTTTGCATCCTATAGGTATTTTTATAATATTTAAATTTCAATTTAAATTATTTTTTTATTTTGTGTCCTGGAATACAATTATAATTATTTTTAATAATGTCCCGATTTGTCACCTTAGAATAACTAATAATAGTATGATTATTATTATTGATAATATTATGGGTGAAATTGAGCTGAAGATTCAACGAGTTCGAAAATCGAATGGAATGTTCAATTGCACGAACTTGATTGATATCTTCGATGATGATAGGAACCACGTGCTATATTTGATGAGACAAACTAAAATAGTTATTATGAAAATTCCTCATTAATGAGGGTATTTTTTAAACGGTCTTCCTCATGATTTTCCTATTTCATATTTATGAAAATTGTAAAAAAAATAAACAAGATGATATTTTTTTTTGTATATCTAGACTCCCAAAAATAGCTGTTTTAGGAACTTATTTGAGTCCCTAAAATGAGTCTTTTCCGGACTCAATAAAATAGTACGTAAAATGATTATTTTAGGTATTCAGTCGCAGTCCCCAAAAAACATTTTTTCCGGATGAAAAATTCGATATGCTTATTATGATGGCAATTTTTTTTTAATTAATAAGAGGTGTGATTTCGTTTTTTGGAAGCTTTAACAAAAAAAATAACTATTTATTACCGCTGTAATAAAATGGTAGCTGAAAACATAAAGTCTGTTTCATTTAATAACAATTGTCAAAATGTTATTATGTTGGTAAAACTTACCAAGTTAACAGCTAATCAACGACTGTCATTGTTATTTTTCTAATCCCACTGCGCCTGAGTCAATATTTGACAGATTTTAAACTAAAGGCTTGAATTACTTTTTTGCTTCGTGTTTTAATCGTCTTTTTTTTAAATTTTAAATTTCTATAAACATAACTGACGATTGACAGGACCTAATCATAATCTCGCTAAACTGTATACAGGTGGTCCATATCGCAGTTTTAGGGTGGTACAGTTGGAGACAAAACACTTTGGTCGTTACTTTTCTGACACTTTAATGTAATTCAAGCTTTAACGTTAAAATGAATGACAATTTCAAATTGATGACTGCTATTATATTTTCCTCAAAAATATGTACATACAACTTGTCAACTATGATTGACAGTAGCTAAAAATAAGGTTAACAGTCCTAAAGCATGATTTACAATTTAATGTCACTCAAGTGATATTGACGACCAAAGTATTTTGTCTCTAACTGCACAGCATTATTTTTTTAGAAATTTTGAAATTGACAACTTTTATTAAATGAAACAGACTTTAAATACAAGATATTTTCAATATCTCCCAAGTAGGTATACAAGATATCTATTTTTAAATAAGGATACTGTTTTAATTTTTCTGTTTCTTATTTGGTAAAAAACATATTTGTCAAACAGTATTTGTTAGCGACTAGCAGTTATTTTTCTAGTTTATTTATTTTAAAACTTTGCTAGGTTTGATGTTCATAGTAAACGAATTAAAAAAGTTTTCATTTTCTTTGCATTCCCAAAAAGGCGTCATCATACACTGGCGACCACGGACGATTTGTCATTCGACTGACATAAAAATGTAAAACCGGCTTTAGGCAACTAACCTCACTTTCTGTTTTGGTAATTTTTATCCTGAGAGCGAGAGAAAAAATGACAACAAATCAAAATAATTAAAAACACGTTTTGCTTGCATTATTGTTTCGGAAAATCGACGCCAAAAATAAATTTCAACTAAAACTTTCAAATTTTAGTTTCAAACGTCAATTATAATGACAATAAAGCGTGGCTTACATTGACATTTTTTGAACTGTCATAAATTTGATGTCCAAAATTTCGTGTCCGCCACGGAAATTAAAATTGGACTGCAAATTATTAAATTCTTTCGGATTATCTACGAAATAAAATACAGAACAATAAATTATTTGTTATAACTTTTTTGTTATGTAATTAACAGTATTTGTGACAATTTTTAAAACACAATTTCTTTCGGGGAGCTAATGCCCTTTTGCCTCCCTTGAAAAGCACCAGTTTTGTACAATAAATAAAACGTTTAGTATTTTACAAGATGAAACTATAATTAAAATACGTACCTTAACTAGTTTTCATACCTACCTTAAGTGGCTGAACCCTTTACACAAAGATGGAAACAAAAATAAGACAAAGTATTGTGTTACCTATAATCCTCTAGGTAGGTTTAAAACGTTATAAACAAACACAATGGGCACACTTACATACATTTGAAAAAAAAAAAACAAAAATAAACTTCCGAAATTATAAATTTTTGACATCAATTAGAAACTTTTTTTAAATATTATCATATAGCCATGAATAAATCTCATCATGCCCTAATCCGATCTTCTCCCTTCGAAATTGACCCATTTCATTGGCTTAAGGGCCCACAATGGGCCGTCCTTCCGACAACCAGTAGTCTATTGATGGGCTACTACTTTCCGCCTAATTACCCAAAGATGAAATCTACCAAATTGCATGAAAAGAGTGGGGAAGTATAAAATAAGGGTGACTGGTTTAAAACGTTAGTCTTTCGAAAAATTTTAATCATGACAGCTCAAAAAGACACAACGCAAAATCCCTCCGATTTTAGCATTGAACACATTTTGAACCGAGCTGGGAGTTCTTCGAGTGGTGTTAGTAATTTGGATTTATGTGAAAACACAGCAACAAATTCGGCAATGTCTTTGGACCCTTATTCGTGGTTGCAGTGTACGAGATATTGCCCACCGAAAGTTCCAAGTGAGTTGTTTTTTTATTTTTATATGTGGTAGATAATTTCGTAGTGGCTTTAGGAGCAAATAAACGAGATGGGCCCCAAAAAAGACAGTTGGGACGCCATCCCAGGATTCCCTTCACAAGTTATCAGTTATCAGTTCTTGAGGAAAAATTCAAACAAAGTCCTTATCTTAGTAGTGAAGAAGTTACAATGTTGTCGAGGCAACTTCAATTGGTCGATGTTAGGGTAAGTAAAAATGTAATTGTAGATAAAATTTTTATGGTTTATTTCACAGGTCAAAATTTGGTTCCAAAACAGGAGAGCAAGAGAAAGAAGAGAAAAACAACAAAGTAAAAATAATAGTGAAAGTAGTACGAAAGAAATAAGTGCAAATGTTAGTAGGACTAGCCCTGTAAGTGTTATTAGTGACACAAATGTTTATAATTTTTTTCCTCCAAATACGATATTGACGAATAATTTAACAGGATTTTTAGTTCCTAATCAGATTCAGCTTTTCGATAATAGTGACGACAGTTAAAAATTGTGTTTTTGTATTAATTATTTGTGTAAATATTCAAATAAAACTTTTTGGTGCTAACTCGTGATTACTCTTCCTTTCTATTTCTTTAAAAAAGTGAAACAAAATGAATCATGAAAGTACAATTAAAAAATGCGTATGGTAAAGATCGGTATCAACTAATTAGTTTGCAATATCAACAAAACAATGAGACAAAATATATTTGTTGTCAAAATATAAAAAAAACTTTGGAGATTTGTTAGATGCTTTTACAAAAATGTAGTCAAATAACACAGGGGACAACAAAAAAAGTCATGTCGCGACAACTTGACAAATTATATATCATTTTATTCGTCTCAGTGAGACAAATCAAATGCACTAAAAAAAATCAAAAAGTCCACACACTTTGAACTAAATTTTTTTTTCTAATTTAAATGAATTTAAAATACTTTAATTTTAAAAAATCATTACTCAAAAATTATAAGGCCGATTTCTTTCAAATAAAGATCATTCTAAAGGGATGGACTTGTCCTTTAGAATGATATGCAATTTGAAATTGAATATTGGCGAGCTTTTTTTCGAATAGTGTTCGAAAAAGTTCGAAGTAAATCGAAATAATTTAGGAAAAATGTGTCGATTTTAAACATTTATAAATGTTTTTCTGTTTTGCGTCTTTAATGAACGCTATTAACGAACTCATTCGAGTGCGTTAACACACAATGTGTTACTAGCCTAGAATATTGTACGATTGTATGTTGGTGACAATGCCGTTGGAAAAATTCCTAAATGTAAAATTATTTTCTTTCTTTCCTTTATAAACAGCATAAAACACTCGTTTCAAAAGGCCATTCATGTAATCGTTAGTTCCTCAACTCACCACTGCGCGGCTCGTACAGTTGGAGACAAAGTACTTTGGTCGTCATTTTTTTGACACTTTAATGTAATTCAAGCTTTAACGTTAAAATGTACAACTTGTCAACTATGATTGACAGTAGCTACAAATCATTGACATCCTACTAATGGACTGCGATTGAGCTAAAAATTTTGTTGTCAACATGGTAGGCAACACATTAAACTCAATAGTGGCAACTAATGGGTCTAATGAGAGAAAAATGGGTTTTTTGGTTTGCTAATCTCTATGTGTGGTGTTGGGAATTTATTTAATGATGTTAAAAACAACAAATATTCAAACTAAGTACATTTTTACCTACAAATTCAAAGTCAGGACCACATCGAACTTTTTTTTCGCGATACGATCCAGAGGAGGATTCAATAATAATCCTACCACTGCCTAATTTGAATGGGCTTACAAAAAGCTTTTGTTGCACGCAGTTTATTATAATATCATTATCAAACGGTATTCTTGTTTATATAATGAATTAATTATAATACTACCTTACAATCAGTGATTCATGATTGTACTTGATGTAAACAAATTGAAATATTGTAAATATTCTATTAAAACTAATTTTCCCATTGTATTTCATACAAGTTCCAATGCATTCTGCCACTATTGCGAATTGGTGGTTGCATAACCATGTTGACAACAGCTTTTATACGCGTAAGTACGAGTATTATGTTTTAATAAAAGCTCATTTACTTGAGAGTACATACACTCCACACCATACGAGTAATATGTAAATTATAGTGGTACCTTTTTTTCAACGGAGGCGAAAATTATCTATTTATTTTTTTATTATACAGTATGTCCCCGGATTGAGTTTACAAGAGGAAAAAAAAATTATCTTTGATTTTACGTCAAAATTCCAAAGGAAAAACATTTTTGCTTTACTTGAAACGAGCAAATTTGTAATTAAAACTTCATTATTCTAACTCAGTAGAAAGAAAAGTTAATTTTTCTCTTGATTTTGGACTTAGAATAGATTTTCTCTGTTCTATCACTTGGCGAAAAACAAAATTTTTACCAAAAGCAACTCAAAGAAACAATTTTAAGATAAAAACCAAAGTCATTTTTTAACAAGACCTATCATTATTTAATTAATAAATTAATTTTCAAAGTGACATATAGTTGTCAAATAAATAAAACCGCCAATGTCAGAGGACATAAAAAGCACTAAAAAATCATTCAAAGTCAAACATCAATACAAAAATTAACTTTTCTTCTCTCACGAGGAATAATGAACCTGACCAAATTTTCGGTGCAACCAACATTACAGTTGTCCCAAAAATAACTTGCGAAGAGTAATGGTGGTTGCAACGAGAATTTGACCAGGCTCATTATTCCTCGTGAATTACCTTGTATATTTATTTATGTTTTTTTTTTAAATAAATTTTCAAAACAACATGTTGATAAGGTTGTATTTAAATGAAGAAAAAACATAGCAGTGTTATTTTTTGTTTAGTTGTTGTGATACAGGGTGTTTGAAACAACTTTACGAGTCTTGCGCCTAATGTACGCACACAAACATACAAAAATTACAAAACACTGGATACAAAAAATACAAATCGAATTATTTAATTTTTGGAAACCCATGACAGTAGTTGTCAAACTAATCATTGTTTCATTAATAGTCATAAAATGCAGTTTTTCAGAAATAATTATCATTCGTTCTATTAAGAGACGGCATGAATATGATTCTAGTTTATCTATCTTAAGCACTAGGGGAGAGGCGGGCAAAATGGGGTACTTAATGTTTGAAGTCGAATTTTAAAAAAACTTAAAACTATGAGAGTCTGTAAATGAGGCAATATTATTGTTACAGTATTAATTATTTATTACTAACATTTTAACTTATAAAAAACAAAACATTTATTTTATATTGAATAAAAAAAATAGTAATGCAATTTGCCCCATTATGCCCGTCGCATAGGGCAAAATGGGGTAATATGTCTAAACTGAAAAAATCTCATTGACAGTTTCTTCTAACAGTTTAAAGAACTGTTGTACAGCCACCTTGTTAAAGCCCATTGCACGGGCACCTGACGTAGCCTCGGGCTTTCTGATGGTCAAGTTTTTAGGTCTATTAAAAAAAACCCGTATCCATCCCGTTCCAGCCATTTTAAGATTTTTGTTAAAGGGGTATTCAATCCGATTTTGTTCAGCAAGTTGAAAGGCAAGTTGCCTGCATTCTGTAATAGTCAGTCCAAATAATCTCGCTTCCATATCTTTAAGATAATTAACAAGTTCTTGTTCTTGTTGGGTAGTAAAAACGGGCCTTTTACTGCCCAAAACTTTTGAAACGGAATAACCTGGAGTATCTCTTTCTTTTGTACTTAGAC